CGGCTTCCACTTGGCTCCCGAATAAACAACGCGAACATATGTCCCATATTCGTGACAGATGGTTCCAACAGAGAACTATTTAGTGGTTTTCCCACAGTTGCTACTATGCAGCGCTCCCGAAACCCAACACAATGCAATTAGCCTAAAATAGCGCCAGTTTCCAGATTTCCTCATTTTTCATATGCGGAAAATTTGATTCAGGTGTTTTTATGTTTTAGCTGCAACCAAATGTTTTCTTAAAAGAACCCCAAAACCAGCATATACTTTACCCGGCAATTTTGTCAGCAAGCTATTTGGCCCATTTGACTCAAGGAATTTACTTCTCCTCACAATGAATTTTGCCTAGAGGAGTTTGCCTCTCCTTGTGAGATGGAAGGTGATCAGGCTGGCCGCTTGCATAGTGAAGACTGGATGGCACATGGAGCTAAACTGTTGTAAGGAACTTCAGAAACACTTACTTAAAAGCTTAGCGTGTGCCAGGATATACAACATTCACAGAACCTGAGTGGAAGTGTTATATTTATTTTTCTTTGCTTCACCTGCCACTTTTTCTCAACAGATAGATTTGTATTTCTACTAAAACAAAACAAACAAACAAAAAACCCCAAACTGCCCAGAGTCCTGCTTCTCTCCATGAAACCAAAATAGTGATGCCAAGTTGCAACTAAGTCACAACTGTTTGTGTTTTGGTCATTTAGTGTGAAGGGGCGTATACTATTACAGAGTCACAAAATCTGTTATCTGCTGCACGTAACTGGATGTAACTGGAGAAACAAAGACGAGGACCAGATTTCAAGAGTATTTCAAGATAATTGGAAGGTGCTAAGGTGGTGATGGCATTGGTGATTCAGGACAGGTTCGGCTTTGGAAGCAGCTGGGACTTGATGAAACAAGTTGGCCTTCCAAACACTTCAAGACAAATTGAACTGGGTGAATACAGAGAGATGATTACTTCTTCACTGGTAATTTTGACACCATTATGGCACACGATAAGCTTTGTATCTGAAGTTATCTATCTGTATGGCTAATACACAGGCAGCCGTTATTCTCCTGTTGTTTACAAGTCTAAGTCATGAATAGCTACGACATTCACAGCAGAGCGAGGCAAGGCAGAATAAGACTGAAATCCAGGCCACTATTTACAAAACCATTCATGCAATAATGTCCTGAATATGTGTATACACACAGAGAAATTATTATTTGGCATATAAAAGCAACACACAGCAAATCTCTGCATTAATAGCTACTTTCGCTGTTATAAAACACAGTGTTTGTGAGGTGTTTACTATTATGGTGAAACTGAAATCATGTTTTAAGTGTTAAGAATCGAATAAAATCTTCCTGACAGTTCAGAAATAACAGGACAGCTGGAAAGCATGCATCTGAAATTCTGAATATTGTCACTAAACACGCCTCCTGCCAGTATTTTGACTCATCTCTGGAAAACTATCACCCAAAGTAAAAACAGGGTAAAATGTCTTAACCTAAAAAAGTTTTAAAATGCATCCATGTTCTGAAAAAAAAGGAGAAAGTCCCCGCTACATACAGTTGCTCAGAATGTCCAACCACTGCACATTCTTTAACAGCTCCATAGGTGTGAGAAAGCTTCTTGCCAATCACAAGGGCATTTGTTCCACAGCAGAAATTACCTTTTTTCTTTTCTTTCAGAGATAGAATTATTTATAAATTCTGTCAATTTATTTCCAGTATTTTTTAATTAATCTCTGGATGCCATCTTTTCCATTTATTACTAAACTAATTTCCACGTCTCTCTAGCACGGGGACAGCACAAGTACTTAACTCTCTTCGTGGAGGATGGCTGTGGCTTTGGGTAGCCGACGTCACCTGCCTGCTGGATTGGTGTCGCATTAACACACAAGGTACGCAGCTTTCCAGAACTGAAGTGCCGCGTTGTATCAGTATCGCTTACGTATACCCCGCCACAGGTCGTAGCTACAAATAATTTTCCTTTTTTTTTAAGAATTTAGAAAGATACCAGGCAAAAACCCATAAGCCACTCTGTGGCTGGAGTCATAATCCTTCTGCTCTTTGCACATGCTTTTCCAATTGCCTTTTACTTCCTCTGGGGTAAAATTAAGTCAGTGGATGCTTTGCTGTTGATTTCAGTCAAACCACGGTCCACCTTGCACTTTGTATCTGGCAATCATCAAACCATAAGGCTCTTCAGTCAAATGAGTAGTAAAAAAATAAACCATGCAGAAGTCCTTAATGTGAACATTTTAAAGATATTTAAGCTGGTTTTCTATTCTGTTGATTGAGTTTTATAAGAAAGTTCCAGAAAAATTAATAAACTTTATATAAGGTATAGCTGGTAGGGACAAACATTTCATTAGAAGACAGATGACAACATAATCACTGCTGAGTTGTCACTTAAAGGCCGTTACAGTATGTGAAGAACGGTATTAATGACTTCAAGCGCCTTACTGCCAGCATTAACTGCTAGTACCACAGTCTTTACGTATTTTTAGTCACTCGATTCTTTCTAGTTACTTACGTTAGCTGGTGTTCTTTCACTGAAAACTTTTAATAAAGAAAAGACGAAGTAATGAGGATAGGGGGGTTATTTGATACTAAGACTTCTGTAAATAACAGTGCTTCAAACACTGTTCTTTCAAAGTAGGTTGAGATAAGTGAGCCCCTAACTCTGGGCAGTTTTAAGCTTCCTGACATCTTGCAGGCTGAACCCAAAGGCTCTGAATACAGCAACAGCATCAGACTGCACCGGTAGTCAGGGCTGCGTGGCACTTGAGGCCAGCCATACAAGATGCACAAAATCAGGATACTGGTTTTTCTGCATTCAGTTTTACTGGATTTCCTTCTGCCTCCTCCTTTGCATGTAAATTGACAGTAAACTCTCCGAAGCGCGTCACGTGCAAAAAGAACCGACTCAAATGCAGTCGGGGGTGTTTTGCAGCCAGTCCCACAAGCAAAAGCTGTGGTGGTGGAGCACTGCTTTAGGTTGTTATGGCTGGCAGCAGTTCAGATGGCAATGGAACGGTAAGGTAACAAGAAGGTCGAATTAATACATTGACTAGGCCACAGTTAGCCTGCAGATTCCCTTTGCTACCTCTGCCATAGACCTCCTTTTAAAGACTGAACCCTGCAAGAAAGTATTAAAGTTGGAGCCGCTGAGCCCAGGGAACATTACACAGTATTATCTTGCAGGCCTGGTAGATATGCAAAGAGAAAGTATGCTGAGAGTAAGAACAGTGCCATGAACTTTAAATATAGTTCTTTGGGGAATGAATAGGTGAAGCAAAGCTGAAGCTGAACTAATGAGTCAGATACAGCAGGTGGGGGAGAGCAAGCAAGTGATGGGAAAACGTCTGTGTGCCATGGGAGCACAAAAAGTCGTGTTTACACAGGAGGCTTTATTCAATAATGGGAAAGGGAGAGCAGACAAGTTAGAGAATTACCAGGGACTGGGGGAACAATCTGAACTGCATTTTTTGTCTTACATTTATCTGCTTACCATGAAGTTAAAGTGCCTAGTGGTGGGAATAAGGCAAGAAGGATTTGCTCAAGGCATTAAAGTTTTGTAAAGGACAGATTAAATAACAGTGATCCAAAAATCAATTTTGAGGGGCTTATGAAGCCTTGAATGGGCTTTTGCAGCACAAAAGCAAGATTGAGTTTTTACTGAACCTGTCATTTATTCGGGTTTAGAGCTTTCAGTAAGTATCAGGAAAAACATAAAACAAAAGCAAAGTAAGGAATGAGCATTCACACAGTAAGCAAATAAAAAACCACGTGGAAGTGCAATCCAAACTACTGAGTGACTTAAGTGATGCAAAAGTATAAGAAAAGAAAGTCGCCGTCACCCTCCCCCCACTTTAATCAGACCTGGTAGTGAATTCCCACAGCTGTTCTTGGCCAGGAAGTTTCTCCTGAACTCTCGTTTCCCTGTCCTCAGCAAAGGTGGTGTTTATATAGTATCAGACCACCTGGAAGAAAAAAAAAAAAGAAAAAACATCTGCAAAATTACTCTGTGAATTCATATCTAATATGTGACCTGATTATTATTTCTCTAGAGTAGATAAGTAAATACTAAAACAGTACAATACAGTTCAGAGGGCTTGCAGTTAAGAAGCACACCATATAGTTACCCTTAAAGATTTGAAAACACGGACAAAACCGCAGCCACTTGTGACGTTCTGTATCTCATAGAAATGATTCCATCAAACTTTAAATACCGATGTGCAGGCATGGATATTGATGTTTGCCCAAACTGGTAAGGAAAAAGTTGTTAAGACAGACTGGTAACAGTTGAATCCGTCGAGTTATGTCTTGTGGCTTTAAAAATGGAATAATACAGCCCCCTAGCTGTTGGTAGAGGCAACGCACGCTAACCTGGGAGAGGGGATTTGTGCCTCTACAGCAAAGCGACGGGCTAAATGCCATCGCACAGGAGGCCCGGGCAGCAAAGAAACCTTACATGATGCAGTTGGGCAAAAGTATAAAAGGTGAAAAAAAATATTGTATGTTAAGTGGTAGTGATTCACGTGCCTATAAAATCTAGAGCAATACAATTCAGATGCTAGAACAGCATCATTTGAAACTTCAGCTTCTAAACAATATGCCAGCAGCATCAACCTTCAGCATCCCGTGGGCATTAGGGATCCCATGGGATTCAACCAAGGTCTCAGTTCTGTTGGTTAACTTGAAACCTTCCTTTTGTCTTTTTAAACTTCTGTGATTACCAGCAGCTCAGTCTTGTGGAAACCACACCATCCTGAACCTAAGGACAGGAAACCCTACCTTATGCTATGTAAAATATACTTACATTAGTGAACCTCACAGGCTTTGCAGAAAAACTAAAGCTCTAGAAAATTACTTATTGTAAATAATCTATTGCTGTAGGAATGTAACATTTCAGGCAGCAGAAAAACATGACTGTGGAAAGCATTAACTTCTCAGAATGTTTAAATCAGATTCGTGAACAGCACCTGAGAAAAGCCATGTAAAAAATGAGAATGTTGGAATCTTTCATCTGCATACTGCTTCACTAACACGTAGGTTCAGTCCCCTCCCATGTTTAATTGACAGTGATAAAATATCTCTGTATTTCCATACAGAGCTGTAAAAAGCACTCAGATTTTCTTTCAAACATGCACGGTATTCAGTTTTCACTGCTCATGCTACGCCAGATACACACAGATTTACAGAACGAAGAATATTAAATCAGAGAGGAACCTTTTGCTTTCACTTACTGTTCATGCCTTATTCTAACCTGTAGGACCAAATCTGCCCTGGCTCCCGCCCTGTGTGGGGAAGTCAAAAAAGATACATGGAGGTTAAAGTCATTTTAGAATTTAGTGACCAAAGGCAAAATTATCATCTTGGATTTTCAGAACTGTATTTTCTGTACATTTTCTAGACTAGCCCTGACAAGTAAAAAGAAAGAAAATGGGAGTAGAAGAAACTAGTGTTGTAAATGCCTTGGGAATTTGTCCTACAGAGAAAGCAAACCTGACTATTCTCGGATATCTGCCATCAGCTTCACGTAACAGTCTCTGCCAAACATATAGTGATATTTGGGGGTTTTGTTGTTTGCTTTGCAAACACTTCCGGAAAAATAAATGCACAGAACACAATTTGAAATTAGATGTTTAGTCATAAAAAGGTTTCAGGAATTAAGAGATGAAAAGACAAAATATTTCTTGAGTCAGCAACAATGACTCCTTAATTAACACATGCATTTTTATTTCATAGTTTCGGAAAAACCTTATGATGAGATAATTCTCCTGTAATTCAATTGATTATCAGCTGGAAACAGCGTTGAAAATCAAGACCTGTTTGTTCTACTGAAATATGAGATAAACCCATTCCTTGGCTTCTCTGCTACTACTTCTGTAAAATTCTGATGGCAGCAGAATACCCATGGGGCGCTGTACACACCGGAGAAGCAAACACGACAGGCCGCTCTGAAAGGCAAGTCTGAAAGCTAGAGCCTCAACCGATGGTACTTGCAGTTCCTTCCCTCCACGCTCTTCTGCAAGCGTTCGTTACATCAACTACAGCTCTATCTGTTAAAGAAATTTTCCTGGTTTAATCATGTGATGCACAGTTAAATCTACAGCACTTTCTTTAGATGGATATAGTTACCTGCTGGTAACACCAGTAAAAAAGCTTTTACGACGGCAAGCCTGCATCTATCCTGCAGCTTTACTAGCTGACATAATTCAGATGAAAAACAATGGTGCGTAGTTTTAAATGATGAAGGTGAACTATTCAGGCTTCCTGGATGCTGTCTAAACTTGACTCTGACTCAAGTCGTTTACATGTAACTGCATCTTGAATACTCCTAAATAAGCTGTATCCTAATTTGGCAGTAAAAACGAATGTAAAGGACTCTACACTTCCGTCTGTTTGTCCATCTGTGAGGGATATGAAGGTGGATTTGCCATCTTCTTTAAGCAGACACAGCAAAGCCTTCTAATCTCCAAACCCATATTTTATTAGAACAGAAAATGATGGCTTAGACTGAGCTTTCTTTTTTTTAGTAGAGAAAACTCGTTTTAGCTTGGTGGGTCTGACTAAATGCAAGGCTTGAAATATTTCCAAACAAATATTTCCCCTGCTACTGCATGGATGGAACATGAGTCTCTTTCTCCAAGTGGTCTCCTGACTTGAACAAAGTTTACTCAGATTCTCCTGGAGTTACTAAGACTCTCATTTTCTTGCCGTCACCTTCGAGGCTTCCCTTTGGGTCTATTCAGAGAGGGGAGCCTTTGTCAGCCATCCACTGCAGAAGCTTCTCGCTCCTCCTCCCTCAGGATGACCTGGATGCCAGGCCAAGGAGAACACACGGGCATCTTTTCTATTGTCCTGGGGCACCTTTCTAACACCTGGCATAACATTTGAAGCCAGAAATTAGCAGTTTCTTTGAAAAAAAAATGCAGGTTAAATAAGCACCTATTTTAGTTTACACGTTGCTTCAATTTTACTTCATTTAAATCACACTGGCTCAGGTTTTGCTGGACACTGGTGCATAACTTTTGGTTCACTAAAGGCAAGAATGTGCTCCAGACTATGGAGGTTCATCTGTACTCTGTCTGTAAAGCACAATTCCTGACCCTAAAAAAGGTTAACAGCCAATCTTGTAACATAAACTGGAAGAGCATCCAGCATACAAGATTGACCAATCTCTATTTGTTTGCTTCTTACAAACCATACCTGAAAAACATTTCTAAAGGCCATACTTCTGAACGCACCAATGGCTGGAGATTATTGAGCAACTGAGCTGTATAATTTATTCTGTAAATGGTAAAAAGGCTGGGAATCCGCAGCCCCAAGTAAGGAAAAGAAGGAAAAGATGAACTCATTTTCATAGGAATTTCTGAGTTATTAATTTATGAAAGAAGAAAAAACTATCTTTGCAGACAAAATGTTAAGCTAAAATGTACTTTATAGCAAATTTAAAGCTGTAAAAAATTACTTACACGCCCACAGTGTGACCCCTCCAAGTTTCTGACTTGGTTAATTATCCAGTAGATCACTATTTATGACAAAATAATGCAAACTTGTTTAAACATGTACAATAATGGCATCTTGCCAGAATGAAATGTAAGCATGATGTTCCCAGAATGACAAAAAATCCAAAGCAATCGTGATTAATATCATGATTTCTGAATTTGATTACATTCTAATCTGTATGACTGGAGCTAGTCAGAACATCCTGACAGATGCATAGTCAGGATATTGTGAAACACCAGCACAACATGTCTAAGTTCTTTTTCCTTTTTCATACATCAAAAAAAGGAAGAAAAAAAAAATAACGCAGACAAAAAGGAGCTTCAATTTAGGGGGCAGCACAACTGAACTGTCAGGGACATCTGACTGTGGAGGACCTCCAGGGATGCATGGGACCAAGCTCACAACCACCACACGTAACACCCTGCTCCTCCAGATTACTTATAACCACTGCTCCTATCGGCTGGAAAAGGGGAAGCAGAGCTTACCACATTCCTGTAACTTTGGATATTTGTGGCCCCTGTGACGGGGTGACTATTAATGTACAGAATAACACCTCACATAGTTTCATTTCTCATGTAGTAATTCATGCATGTGTCTAGTCTGTCCTGACCTAGAGCACGACATCCTCATGAACAGAAACTTGTGCGTTTCCCTAGAATATATCCTTGTACTTAGATCTTTGAGATTCAGATTTTGTCTTTGTAAACTGGGTAATCACAATTGCCTTCTGGTTTGGTCCTGACCATATATACCATATATATGTGTGTATATATATATATATATATATGTGGTAAATGCTTTAAAGTAGGCCCTACTTCGACACTGTTCAGAGAGTTAGAAAGGAGGGTACAGTCTTAGCTAGAACTGCAAGAACTACTATAACACTAGAATCAAAGAGTTTTGGTGAAGCCATTTTGAGAGAGAGAATCTTCATTCTAAATGTTGAACAAAACTGGTAGGTGATGGCACATTAAATGATTTGCTTTCAGAATAGTTAGCTGGGCCACAGTGGTTTTTGGAGACCTGGAGAACACAGGGAGAAGCAGAAAGCAGCAAGCTGTTCATGCCAGGGTATCTATTTCCCTGGTGAAGTCTTTTAATTCATGTTCAGATAGAATACTCTTATATTTTAATTTAATTATCACATTTGGATGCTTAAACTTCTTCAAATTTTACTTGTTGAAAATGCTTAGAATCATCTCATTAGGGATGGAATGAGATTTTTTTTTTTCTTTTTTCCATGGGATAAAAGATGATTGAAAAATTAATGGGGTTTTTTTCCACTTTTTAAAAAGTTCTAAACCTCAATTTTAAATTAATATTGACTGGGCAGTCAACACATTTTCAGCTTTCCTTCAATACAGTGTCTCTATGCTGAAGTGAGCCATTTCAGATGTCTGAAAAAGTATTGCTTAATGCCTGTAAGC